AGGCTGTGCAGGAGGAGCAGGGCGCGCTCGCTGGCCGGCTGCGCGCTGCCCGATGGCCCCTTGCCTGGACACCTGCTGGACGTGAGTGGCACGGGGACCCTGGCCCACAGCTACCAGTATGAGGTGTGTCTCACAGGAGACTCTGGGAATGGTGAGTTTAAAGTCCTGCAACCGATAGTGCCCAACCTCTCAATTCAGGACTCTGAAATAGACTCTTTGAACATATCCCAGTTTAGGAATAACTTTGTATTCAATTAGTTGCTATTTGTTTCACTCAATTTGTCCAACTTTCCTCTGTTATACCCTTCTGTGTAGAAATTATATCATTATATGAAGCTATTCACATCGCTTTCCCCAAACTCTGCATGTCTTTTTAGCAGCATATTAGGTGTTAGTGCATTATCTTAATTTATTACAGTGAATATTATGATGTATTTCATTTTACCATATTTCACATTCATCATTGATTTCTCAATAACTTAATTTGGTGAGGAATATTTAAATTTTTTAAAGTATTTTAAATTAGTTGTTGTGGATATTGAACTCAGTGACCCTTGGATCTTTAGCATGTATGATACCACTGAGCTTCATTTGCAGCTACAATTGCCAATACCTACTTGGCTCTTTCTGGTTGACTATACTACCACGTCAATCTCCTGAGTAGCCATAACCATAAAATGTAGTGAAGTGGTCTCTCCAAGTTGTATGTAAAATATCACTTCATGAAAAAATTAATGCTTTCAAATTGTTGCTGTGTTCCTCTTCAAGTCCTCTCTATGCTGGAGGTTATTTGGGTGTATCGTGCCTGGTACATATTAAGTACTTCATAAATACTAATATTAACTGTAAAAATCAATTCTCATTTGTAAACAATAAAGTAAAAATCTTATATACTTTCTCCTCCTTTCAGTAAATAAAATTGTTAATGCTAAGATTGTAGCTCAGTGGTAGATTACGCATGTATTCCAACTCAATAGTTCATACATCAACACCAAAAAGTAAAAAAAGAAAAAGAAAATCATGTTAAATTACTGTTGTATATAATCCTCTTAAGATGTAATCTAAGTTAGGTGCTGATGACTCACACAAGTAATCCTAGCTACTCAGGAACCTTAGATCTGAGGTTTGAAGCTAGTGTAAGCAGGAAACTCCTTTGGCATGAGCTTCCAGGAAGCTTGAAGTTAGAACTGTGGCTCAAATGGTAGTCTTGATTGAGTCTTGAGCACAATTCAGGGATAGCACCAGACCCTGAGTTCAAGGTCTAGGACCAGCATACACCCACATCCATGTGCACACCCCTCTCCCCCATACAAAGTAATTTGAGAGCCTGAAATAATCTCCAAAACACTACAAAGAGTTCAGGACTCTTGGCAACATCATTTCCTATTCTTGTCCTTTTCTTTAATTATAAAAAAATTAAGTGTAGATTTTGGAGAGAGAGAGAGTTAGTTTTCAAATCCAGCACCTCCTATGTTCTAAGCATGCAGTTATCTCTGTGCTCTAGGCACAGCTTCAAGTGTGTATTAATGTATGTATTTCCTTTTTTCCCCCCGAGGCTTCCCACACCATTCAAAAGAGACAGGAAATTATGGAATTTTGGTTATATATTTTTTGTTGGTCATGGAGCTTGAACTCAGGAGCTGGGCATTGTGCCTAGGAACTCTCCCTGAGCTCTTTTGCTCAAAACTAGCACTCTACCATTTTGAGCTACAGCTCCACTTTCAATTTTATGGTAGGTAATTGTAGATAAGAATCCCATGGTCTTTTCTACCTGGGCTGGCTTTGAACTATGATCCTCAGATACCAGCCTCCTGAGTTGCCAGGATTACAGGCTTGGATCACCCACACTTGGCATGTCTATTTTATGTTATTCTGATCATTAGTTGATCTGGATTTTTCACTTTCCATTACTTTGTAGACTTGGACAGTCATTATCAATCGAATAATTATTTCAGACAGGTGGCATTGGTTCTCAAGAGACTGAGAACTAAGGATCATGATTTGACGCCAGCCACAGTAGAGAAGTCTGAGACATTATGTCTAGTTAAACAGCAAAATTCTGGACTGGAGCTATAGCTCTAGGGGTAGAGTACAAGCATGAGTAAAAAAATTCAAGTGAGAGTACAAGACCTGGGGTTCAAGCCCCATTGCTAGCAAATGATAGCAATTATTTCTTTGTGATGCTTAGCTCTCCTGTCTCAGTGTGCTTTTTAATTGTTTTTGAGCTAATCTTTCAATCATATTAAAGTTGCATTTGTATAGTAATGAATTTACCCAACTTATGTTTATTTTAGTTGTGTTCAATAATCCAACCAAGCTGATAATGTAAATTCTATTTAGTTAAATTCATACAGATATCACCATAGGATAATTTCATTGAACTTTTGGCAGATCATGGGTAATTGAAGAGTTTGATTTATATCATTTATTTTTAAATATCAATTGTTATTACACTAGAGTTTGAATCCCTATATTTCCCCTTAATTAATATTGATATAAATAAATAAAAGCAAACTTACTGACCATTTATTCTTGAAATACAATTTTTCATTAAATTTATTAATTAAAGTAGGGAAGAAGAAAATGTAAGAAAAGAATTAAAAACTAACAAAGAAAGATGGGAGTCAACTCCACTGACTTCTCCAATTTTTCTTAGATATTTCAACTCATACCTCACCTGGTGGCCCAGTCTTTTAAATCTGTCATATAGGTGGATTACAATAAGTTCTATGTCAGCTTGGGCTATGTAGTGAGATCTTTTCTAAATAAACAAATAGCATGTATATGAACATAAGGAATTTGATTGGAAGTTTCCAGTAATATATTCCAACAGAAAAAAATCTAAGTTTACCTTTTTTTTGTTAATTCCAGGAAGTCTAATATGTATAAATACCCAAGTAAAATGGTCCAAATAATCACAAATAACTAACCTCATCATTATGTGTATTCATAAAGTATAAATAATTCTGACCAGCCAAGTCTTATCACAAGACTCTATAGTAGATCAAAATTTTGACATTCAATTTTGAATTTAATAGTAATCATGACTCAAAGAACTTTCATAGTATATACACTTTATGAATATAGGTTAGTTCTATTATTACAGAACAAAAACAGAATGAAGATGAAACATTTAGATTGTAACTTGTACTTCAGTGATTCTTATTTGTTTCAGGCAGCACTAGAGTTTGAACTAAAAGCCTCAAACTTGCCCAACATCTTTATCTATCCTCCAAGCTTTTTTGGTTTAATTTATTTTTCAGACAGGGTCTTTTGCTTTTGCCCAAACTATTCTGGGACCACATTCTTCTGCTTTCCTTTTTCAGAGTGGCTGGAATTATATGTGAGAATTACTACTTATTTGTTCTAAGCTAGGGTCTTAGTAAGTTTTGTTTTGGTCTGGGCTGGATTTGAACTACAATCCTCATGTTCTGCCATCCAAGTAGCTAGGATGGCTGTGGTATGGTACCAGGACTGGCAGCCAGTGTGGGCTGTTCCCACAAAATGCTCACATTATACATACATATTTCACAACTCCTTTGATATTATTTGCACACACACATGTAGCCAGCTAAACTCACTGTTTTGAGGACAGAAATTCCACTGACAAAATGTAGCCTTTATCACTCTAAGATAGATGCCTTCTTTTGCACCTGATGTTGTAGTTCTTAGATGTATCCCTGCATTAAGGCAACAGAGACAGAAAGAACTCAGAATTCAAGGCTAACTTGGGTCTATATCCAAAGAAAAAGTCTATATCCAAACATCAAGGTCAGGGTTGTAGCTCAGTTGTAGAGCTTTTGCAGGCTGTAGGTTTTCTCTCCAGCATCATCAAAACTAAAGCAATATCTCTTCTGCCTTTGTAATAAAAATTACAGAATATATAAGAATATAAGTATGCAGAATGTATATGAACTTATGGTTGTCCATATTTGTAGTTCTACCACTCAGGAGACTGAAGCAGGAAATGTTTAAGCTCAGGGCCAGCCTCTGCTACACTGAGTTTCAGGCCAGCCTTGGATATAGCAACATAGTGTCTAAAATAAAATCACCACAAAATAAAGGAGGAGGGTAAGCCAGGTGTTAGGATACACACCTGTAATTTCAGCTACTCAGAATGCAGAAGTAGGAGGTTTGAAGCCAGCACCAGTAGAGGAAGACTATTTTTCAAAAATGAAAAAAAAACAAACCAAAGGGATATATGAATGTGGCTTAAGTATCAGAGTACCCTGTCTAGCTTGTCTAGCATATGTGAGGACTTGGGTTAAATCCCCAGTACCACAAAAAGGAAGCACAGAATATATATCTCTCATTCCATTTCAATGAATTACCTAGGATCAGAAAACAATAAAAAAAGAAACTGGCTAAAGTAAAAAAAATAACCTATTTAAAACAATTGAAAGGAGATGATATGCTTTAGAAGAAACTGAATGGATCAATATGTCTATGAAGAAATGAGAACTGACTTCTATAGTTAGTTTTACCCTCAAGAAATTTATTAAGACTGAGAAAAAAATAGGCTCATTAAAAAAGAGGATTTCAATAGCTTTTGGCAGACTGGAGCATTAAGCTCCGGACCCCAAACCAAAGACAGCCCAGAGCAGAGGAGAAAATTCTTAAAAACAGTGTGAGGCTTTTCTTACTATTTTAAGCATAGAGTTCATGAACTATCTGGAGAGATGTCAAGTTCTCAATTGAAAATTCTCAGATCTAGGTACTTAACAAGACTGCAAAGAAACTTGACTATGTAAGTGCCCAGTGGATTAAGATTTTATTGGGGCTGGGCACCTCTGGCTCAGGCCTGTAATCCTAGCTACTCAGGGGGCTGAAATCCGAGGATCTCAGTCAGTCCAAAGCCAGCCCAGGCAGGAAAGTCCATAAATCTCTTATCTTCAATTAACAACCAAAAACTTCAACATATAGCTGTGTGTAGAGGTTAGCCTTAATCAGAAAAGCTCAAGGACAGCACTCAGGCCCTGAGTTCAAGCTCCACAACTGGCACACAAACACACACACACACACACACACACACACACACACACACACACACACACACACACACATACAATGTCATAATCAAATGACCAAAATAGAACATTCCTGAATATGAACTTCAGGAGGGTGCATGTTAATGATGACTAAATAGTGAAATGTGCATAATTCCAAATTACTGAACACCAACTGAAAAGATAACATCAAATGTTGACCCAGGGTATAGAGCAACTGGAACTCAGACTTTTTTTAGTAGTAAAATAACTTTGAAAATGTTTCACAATCCTTGCTAAGGATATATGTGTATGTGCATATCTTAATGCATCAGAACAGAACTCCTTTAAATATATTTAACATAAATACATAAATATCATTACCCCCTCAAAATTGCAACTATGTTCACGACAAAACTCCCAAATCTCGAAACAGGAAAATTTACAGTGCACATAGGCTAGGAATATGTTAAAATAATAATTAAATAAAAGCATACTAATACAGGAATCATACTATGAAAACAGGGAAATTTAGAATATATGCTACAGGTCACTTTTGAAAACAATGGCAAGTGGATAAAAACACAGGGAGGCCAATACTCTGCAAACACATGTTTGACCAAAGATCCCCAAAAGGGGCCAAAGAATCAATGAGTGGGAAGCATGGTTCAGTTGGTAGAGTAGCTAGCCAATGGGTGAAAACAGCAGGTACTAAGTTTGAGTCCCAATCTTGAACTCCCGCTCAAAAATAATAAAAATGTAATGTTTACTTTATAGTAAACTGAAGGGTACTTTTAGGGGTTTGGAACATGTATTTTTATTTGGTTTCTGCTTATAATAGCCTTCACATGATGAAAATCCAGATTGCACATGTAAATCTTGTATCTTTTGATGGATATATAATAAAAAACAAAAAGTTATAGGAGTCAATTTTAATTTTTAATAGTAACTGTTATCCATTGATGAAAGTGAACTATGCAACTCATGGGTGGAGATGGGAGGGTGGGAAGGGAAAGAATGAGGGAACAGATGACACAGTGTGAAAGGAAATGGAGTTATTACCTGACATATGTAAAGGTAACCAACCCCACAGTATGTCACCTCCTGAACAACAATAAAATAATTTTTTAAATGAAGAGAAGGAAAGGTATGAGAAAAATTTCTCATCAAATTGCCAAAATATTCCCAAAGAAATGGATATCCAAGTACCAAAAGCTCAAAAGACCCTAACTAAAACCAAAATAGACCCTCAACAAGGAATGTTAAGACATCAAAAGTACAAAATAAATACAGAATCCTAAAACTCCAACTTACAGCAGACCTCTCAACATAAACTTAATATACCAGAAATGAATGATACATTCAAAATAAAGAAAACTACATCAAACAAAATTAAACTTCAAAAATGAAGGTAAAACAGAAGCCTTTCCAAGAGAAGCAAAAACCAGAAGAACTAATCGCCAACAAACAACTCCACAAGAAATATTTAAAGGAATCCTACACTAGAAATAAAAAGATACAAGTTACCATGATGGATGCACATACAGAAACACATTATAGAATTAGTTATAGCATATCAAAAACTACTAAATTACAAAAATAGTAAGGGAAATGGATGCAATGGTACATACCTCAGTAGTAGAATGCTTGCCTATCATGCGAAAGATTGTAGATTCAATACCTAGCATTAAAAACTTGTTAAAAGGTTGATTTCCTGAACAGATGAAGTGGTACCGTATACAAGAGCACTTGCTGAAAAAGTACAAGGCTATGAGTTCAAACCCTAGGACAAAAAGAGCTACAAAAAGATAACAAACAAGCAGAATATAACTAACCTTAAATGTAACTGTATTAAAATAGGCAATCAAAGAAAAAATATCTGTTATGATTATTAATTGAAAAGCCAAATACAAACCAAGGACAACCACTTTATGTATATGAAAAGTGCTGTTATGAAGAAGATGATTTTTATGAAGATGAGGGATTTTTTCAGCTGAAAACTAATTAATACAGGAACTTTCAGTGACTGAAAGCAGGAGACATATTAGGCAATGCTGATTGAATTACCACAAGTTGTATGCAATAGTAATTTAGGACGCTTGGTGGCGCTGCAGGCTAAGAATGAGAATAACCCGTCTGCAGATCCCAACAGCGCCATTAAGCTGACAATCAGAAATCGTTCCTTAAAAGAAGGACGCGCATTTTGGTGAGGTCTAGAGGACAGATCTTTACGAAGAGTATACTTCTAAAAACAAGTCAGTGAGTAAGATTTAAGGGAGGTTATTTGGCGAAATCACCTGAGTGGATTAATTCTACACGGAGTTGAAGAAACCGACCTTCACAGCGTCTGAACAATGGAGACTGCGCTAGCAAAAACGGCAGAGAAAAGGCAAGTTGCTTTTCTTGCTTTGCTATTGCTTGTGTGGGGGTCTGGTTGTGAGACAATTCGGTATTCCATTCCAGAAGAAACGGAAAGTGGCCACTTTGTGGCCAACTTGGCAAAAGATCTGGGGCTGAGGGTGGGGGAGTTGGCCACTCGCAGCGCGCGAATCCATTACAAAGGAAACAAACAGCTCTTGCAGCTAGATGTAAAGACAGGCAGTTTGCTCCTGAATGAAAAGCTGGACAGGGAGGTGCTGTGCGGGGTGACAGAACCCTGTCTAATGCATTTCCAGGTCTTACTTGGAGACCCAGTGCAGATTTTTCAAGCTGATTTGCACCTCACAGATATAAACGACCATTCTCCAGAGTTCCTAGAGAGAGAGATGCTCCTAAAGATTCCAGAGAGCGCCCAGCCAGGGACAGTGTTCCCTCTGAAAGCAGCGCAGGACCTCGACATAGGGAGCAACACTGTCCAGAATTACACAATCAGCCCCAACCTTAATTTTCATGTGGTTACCCATCACCGCGGAGATGGCAGGAAATATCCAGAGCTGGTGCTGGATAAGGCGCTGGACAGGGAGGAGCAGGCTGAGCTCAGCCTCATTCTGACTGCGCTGGATGGTGGGGCTCCACCCAGCTCTGGGACCTCCACAGTGCGCATAGAAGTCGTGGACATCAATGATAACGCCCCTGAATTTTCACAGTCGCTGTATGAGGTGCAGGTTCCTGAGAACAGCCCGATGGATTCTTTAGTTGTCACTGTCTCTGCTCGAGATTTAGATGCAGGAACGCATGGTAGTGTGGTCTATGCTCTATTTCAAGTAGATGGTGTTTCCCAGCCGTTTGTAATAGATGAAAACACAGGAGAAATACACTTGAGAAGGTTGTTGGATTTTGAAGCAACTCCGTATTACAATATGGAGATTACAGCCACCGATGGCGGAGGGCTTTCAGGAAAATGCACTGTGGCTATACAGGTGTTGGATGTGAATGACAATGCCCCAGAACTGACCATCTCGTCGTTCATGAACACCATTCCGGAAAACTCACCAGAGACTGTAGTTTCTGTTTTTAGTGTATTTGATTCAGATTCTGGGGATAATGGGAAAATGATGTGTTCCATTCCAAATGATCTCCCGTTCTTCTTAAAGTCCACATTCGAGAACTTTTACACCCTAGTGACTGAGAGGCCACTGGACAGAGAAAGCACAGCCGAATACAACATCACCATTACCGTCTCCGACTTGGGGATTCCCAGGTTGCAAACCCAGCACACCATCACCCTGCAGGTGTCCGACGTGAACGACAACGCCCCCGAATTCACGCAGTCGTCCTACACCCTGTGGGTCCGCGAGAACAACAGCCCCGCCCTGCACATTGGCACCATCAGCGCCACAGACAGAGACTCGGGCAGCAATGCCCAGCTGACCTACTCGCTGCTGCCCGGCCCGCAGCCCGGCGCCGACGCGGCGGCGGCGCTGGTGTCCATCAACGCGGACAGCGGGCAGCTGTTCGCCCTGAGGGCGCTGGACTATGAGGCCCTGCAGGCGTTCGAGGTGCGCGTGCGCGCCGCCGACCGCGGCTCGCCCCCGCTCAGCAGCCAGGCGCTGGTGCGCGTGCAGGTGCTGGACGCCAACGACAACTCGCCCTTCGTGCTGTACCCGCTGCAGAACGCGTCTGCGCCCTGCACCGAGCTGCTGCCCAGGGCGGCCGAGCCGGGCTACCTGGTGAGCAAGGTGGTGGCGGTGGACCGCGACTCGGGCCAGAACGCCTGGCTGTCGTTCCAGCTGCTCAAGGCCACGGAGCCCGGGCTGTTCAGCGTGTGGCCGCACAATGGCGAGGTGCGCACCGCCAGGCTGCTGAGCGAGCGCGACGCGCCCAAGCACAGGCTGCTGCTGCTGGTCAAGGACAATGGCGAGCCGCCGCGCTCGGCCAGCGTCACGCTGCACGTGCTGCTGGTGGATGGCTTCTCGCAGCCCTACCTGCCGCTGCCCGACGCGGCGGCGCCTGAGCGCGCGCAGCCCGACCGCCTCACTGCCTACTTGGTCATCGCGCTGGCGGCCGTGTCTTCTCTCTTCCTCTTGTCTCTGCTGCTCTTCGTGGCCGCCAGGCTGTGCAGGAGGAGCAGGGCGCGCTCGCTGGCCGGCTGCGCGCTGCCCGATGGCCCCTTGCCTGGACACCTGCTGGACGTGAGTGGCACGGGCACCCTGGCCCACAGCTACCAGTATGAGGTGTGTCTGCAGGCAGGTGCTGGCACCAATGAGTTCAAATTCCTCAAACCGATATTACCCAATATTCTGCCTCAGGATTCTGGTGAAGAGACAGGAAACCATCCTCTCTTCTGAGATAGCTTTGCATTCTCTTAGATATCTCTTTATGATGTTATTTTCTTCCTATTCACCTTAACTAGTTCTACAATTTATTTGTAGACAAAGTTCAGTGTTAGTAGTAAATCTCAACCTCGTTTTGTATGTGTTGAAGTTGCATGTGTTCACATATTGTCTTTTCAAACTCGTACACGTGTTTGGTTTTCCTGCGATTTTTGTTGTCTCATTGATATTGTGATGGGTTATATCAATACAAATAAAACCTTAACTCTTTGTTTTAATATATTTTGTGACTCTTTATTTCATCCAGTGAAGTATATACTATGATAAATTGAAAATAAATGTTTTCCTTCTCTTCCTTCTTTTGTGGATCAGTCATGGGTCTCGAACTCAGTGCCTGGTTGCTGTTCCTCAGCTCTTTTTGCTTAAGGCTAGCATGCTACCATTTTGAGCCACAGTGCCACTTCTGGTTTCCTTGTGGTTAAGTGGAGATAAGAGTCTCTAGGACTCTCCTGCCCTGGATGGTTTTGAATCAAGATCCTCAGATCTCAGCCTCCTGAGTAGCTAGGGTCACAGATATGAGTCACTAGTACCTGGTTGTTTTCTTAATTATACATATTTTCAAAGGAACTTATATCTATTACACAATCAAATATATAAAAAATAAGATGAAATGCAAGTACATTCTATTTTTTGTTTCCAGTCTTGGCTCCTTCCATAGCCCAAGCCGTTGCTCTCAGAGGCATTGCTTCTTCCAGGCCATAAGATCTCACTGTGGTGTTGGTCATAGCCCTGCTGTTGATGTCATAGCTCTTTCTCTTCTTAGTGCTGTTGTCAATGACAGTCTGGCTGCACAGAAATAATAGGATATTTCACTAGGTAGCTGGTTTGTGCCTGAGTCACTTTTCAGGCCACCTGGTGAATGCCAGCAACATGGGGACCCTGTCCCACAGCTACCAAAAATGATATATGTCTGTGAGGAGACTTAGATTAGTGAGTTCAACTTCCAAGTGTTGTTTTCTCACTTTTCCTCTGTGAATACTGTAAGGAAAATGGAAGGAGATTCCCCACTCTTTGAAATAGCTTCCTATTTTGTTAAGCATTGCATTATTGTAGCACACCATGTTATTTAAGTTTACAAATGTCCTTTGACTTAACTCTGCATGTTGTTTTTGCTTTTTTTAATGGGCCTTTTCCTGTTTATGTTACTCCCATTTAAGGTGTGGGAAAATTGAGCCTGGTGCTTCAAGCATGTGAACAATCTCCCTATATCTGAGCAGCATGGTCAAACCCTTCACGCTATGCTTAAGGTTGAACATTTTATAAAAAGCAAAAGTTACATATTCTTTTCTCTTAGGCTTACAGCATGTTTAATATTAACAAGTGCTATATTTGGCAATTTCAATCAAAAGTAAGTTTTAGTAATTTAAAACTTTGAAATACCCATTTTACAAATAATACCTTCCAACATCCTATAGATAGACTCTCTTACAATTGATTACAGTCTTTGCATTATTCCTGTCTGAGAACTATTTTTCATTATGAATGTTTTATTATTATCCTGTGTATGTCTCATTTAGGGGTAACCATAGTGTTACAAGATAAACACTAAAAATATCTAAATGATGAAGTACTCATGTATCTTATGTTTACATGCTTGAATATATATCAATACACCATAATAGTCAAGGAACTTTTTGTAGGGATAAAAAGTATATTTAATGAACTGTTAAGATATTAAATTACAGTTTATGAGCCTCCTTTAGATATTTTCTTTAAATATCTATTTTAAATTTCTTATAAACAATTGGTGAATTTTAGTAACAATTCAGTGTGATTTTTAGAGTACATTTTCATGAATAAAGAAATGCTAGTATCCTCTCTGCAATAAAGTCCCCTTTCCATAAGTGAAGTTATTAAATATTATAGCTTGCTTGTCTTTTTTGCTTTCCTTCAAAACAGAAAATATTCTTCTATTCATACTACTCTATTACAGAACATAAAATACTCCTGATGATCCATTTTGTCTGTCTAACAATTTAACAGTTCATAGATATTCTTATGTATAAATCAAATTGTATTTTTCAAGCTTTCATTTTTTCTCAAATTTCTGTACAAAGGCGTAAGTTTAGTATTAATCACAGATTGCTATGTAATGCTAGAGTTTCCTTTCTTGTGCTGTGTAAGCATTATGGGCCTTCATTAAACAGAAAGTCATTTACCTCCTCAGGTTAACCTTTATTTGGTCTTATATATGTAGTATTTTAGGAAATTTTCCTTTAAGGTTTCTGTCAAAGGCAGATAATCTTTTTATTTATTTTATTTTACATAGTTTTTTTTAATCTGGTCCTGGGGCTTTAACTTTGGGCCTGAGTGTTGTCTCTGAGCTTCTTTTGCTCAAGGTGAGTGCTCTACCACTTGAGCCACAGTGCCACTTCCAGCTTATTTTCAGTAGTTTATTTGAGATTAGTCACATGGACTTTTCTTCCTGGACTGGCTTTGGAGCATGATCCACAGATCTCAGCTTCATATGTAACTAGGATTACAGGCATGAGCCACGGGCATCAGCTCAGAAAATTTATAATAAAATGACAACTAAGTTAATATTTTTAATTACAATAGAACTATATTTGGCTATTTTAGAGTTCAAATAAATACCTGCTGTGGATGATTCCCAGTTGGCTTGATAAGTGTAGGGAATGCGTGTTCCTATATGTTGATCCTCTTCTTCAAATAGCGTTCTTTCTTTTAATCAAGATGTTATGTTTTCACCGCTCTCATTCCAGATAGTTTTAGTTGGAATATTAGTGATGTTCAATTATCCTATCTCCATAGCCAAGACATAGACATTTGTCCAGTGCTCATAGCTCAAAGCCTTTCTCCAGACAGTATTTTTATTTACTTCACTGACTTTAGTATCTTCATGTTCATATAAAGGATATTAACTTAATTCTCAGCTTATACCTATTTTCATAAACCAAACAACCATTTCCTCTCAACTTCATTGAGCACTGCATAACTTGAAAAATCTCAGTGCTATATAGCCCAGAGATGGACAAAAAAAATCACATCATAATTTTTATATATGTAATATGAGTACATTTGGGAGTGGAAATGGATTTTAAAAGCCTATTTAAAAATATTTTTGTTATTAAAAGGCAAAATACAGAGGGATTACTGCTTCCTAAGTCGGATAATGAGTACATTTCTTTTTGGAAAATGGCACCATTTCCTTCGCTCTCTCTCCCAGTTAAAGCCTAATTTTAACAAAATAAAACATCAGTATTCTAGTAAAATTAAAATTCCACAAAGGAAGGATTTTAGTGCCTCATTTAGGGTAGTATCTCAAACACTAGATGAATGCCTGTATAGGTAAGTAATTGTTAGAATACAGTTTTGAGTACTGACTTTGCACCATTATGAGGAAGACAAATATACACATATATTTCTCTTTTTCTCACTATTACCGTTAGCTATTTAAACACGACTGTCAAGTGGGTTGAGGAAAACAGTGTAGAGAAGTTATGACCTAAAAGATGCACAATTACAATGTATTTTTGGAATGGACATTACTTGAAGTTGTAAAACAGAACACTTGGTGGCGCTGCAGGCTAAGAAAGAAAAATGCAGAAACACAGACTCAAAGCTGAGCTGTTCCTGACGCTTAAAAGGGAAATACCATACATTACTGGAGACACTACGTTCCCGAAAGGCAAGGTCAAGCAACGTGAAGACAAACAAAAAAGAAATCAAGATTATTAAACCAAGATAGCTGAATTGGCTATAAAGTGATTCCTTTGTAATTACTGCATCTTCTGAACCTGAGAAAAGATGGAGATGCCGGTCATCCCAGCACAGCAGAAAAGGCAAGTGACCACCATTATTTTCTTGCTACTCTTGTTGGAGGTGGGCAGTGAAACTATTAAATATTCCGTTCTAGAAGAAAGAGACAGAGGCTCTTTTGTAGGCAACCTAGCCCAAGATTTGGGGCTAGGTGTAGAGGAGCTGGTCACTCGGGGTGCACAGATTCTTTCCAGAGGGAACAAACAGCATTTGCAGCTGGAACAGAAGAGTGGGGAATTACTCCTCAAAGAAAGAGTGGACCGGGAAGAGTTGTGTGGGGACACAGATCCATGCATTTTGCATTTCCAGTTGCTACTGAAAAACCCGGTGCAGTTTATTCAAGGTGAGCTACAGATCCAAGATGTAAATGACCATGCTCCAGAATTCTTAGAAAATGAAATTCTCCTTAAAATCTTGGAAAGCACACATCCTGGGACCCTGTTTCCTTTGCAAATAGCTCAAGATTTGGACGTAGGATGCAATACAGTTCAGAGCTATACAATCAGCACCAACTCCCATTTCCATCTTCTCACTGGAAATCACAGCGATGGCAGGAAATACCCTGAACTGGTGCTGGACAAAGCACTGGACCGGGAAGAGGAGCCTGAGCTCAGATTAGTCCTCACAGCACTAGATGGTGGGTCACCACCCAGGACTGGGACTTCTCAGGTTCTCATTGTAGTTATGGATATCAATGACAATGCCCCTGAATTTGTTCAGGGACTCTACGGAGTACAGGTACCAGAGAACACTCCTGTAGGTTCCCTTGTCATCACTGTATCAGCTAGAGATTTAGATGCTGGGATTCACGGAGAACTTTCCTACTCATTTTTCCAATCCTCAAATCAAGTCATTCAGGCCTTTGAAATAAATACAGACACAGGAGAAATTAGATTAAAAAAACTGTTGGATTTTGAGGAAATTAAGTTTTACCGCATGGAAATTGAGGCCTCAGATGGCGGGGGACTTTCAGGGAAATGCACAATAGAAATAGAAGTGCTGGATGTAAATGACAACGCCCCTCAGTTGACGATGTCACTATTTAACAGTGACATTCCAGAAAACGCTCCGGAAACTGTGGTCGCTATTTTTGGAATTTCAGATCCAGACTCTGGAGACAATGGGAAAATGATATGTTCCATCCAGAACAGTCTCCCTTTTCTCCTGAAACCTACAGTAGAAAATTTCTACACGTTGGTCACAGAAGGCTCTCTGGACAGAGAAAACAGAGCAGAGTACAATATCACCATCACCGTCTCCGACTTGGGGACTCCCAGGCTGCAAACCCAGCACACCATCACCCTGCAGGTGTCCGACGTGAACGACAACGCCCCCGAATTCACGCAGTC